TTTTTACTTTTAATTCTACAGTTGTATGATAAGATTTAAATTACCACAATAACATGTTGAAGAGGATATTTAGTCACAAAAATAGTCTCCCATCTTTAGGTTTTACACACTGGTGTTTACATTGACACAATGTGTCACATGTTCCATAGTTTTACAACTTTTAGCTAAAATGTTCCATCCAAGTGTAGCTGATAAATTCTGAAAACTGAGTATATTTCTGCTCTGAAAAGAGAGATGGCTCAGGAGATGAACCTGAATAATATTCAAAACATATGAACCTGGCATGTCCAGTGCCAATGGTTCCTGTCAGGCTCAGGTTGAGTATCCACAGATGCTCAGCTGAGGGTTCATCTGCAGTGCTGTGTTTCCAATGATGAGCTGCTCCAGCTCAGATAACTCTGTGCACCTTCCTTTTTGTCTGTATTTGACAATATATATTTTGACTTCAAATCTGAGATCAAACTGTTTTTTATACTTCAATCATACAACTTTCTCCTGATACAGTTTTCACTTAACCCATGTATTGTTTTATGTGGTATTTTATTTTTACTCTTGGCTTCTTAAATATTCTTTTCAGTTTCTGTGATTGTGTGCACACAACAATGCAGTCTCATGCCCTTTTAAGGGCACTGACAAGGCATTTACCTGTTAATCAGAAAAAAAAAACTGACACATTCTTTCAACTTACCAACACATGGTATATACTGTATCAATATAAGAACACAAATGTGAACGATTCTGCAGTTTAAGAATGTGTCATTTATCTGACTTAGAGATTTCTTAGAAAACGTCTTCAGATCAAATTTAAGAAAGTTCTTTGGAAGTTATTGGTGAATGAGGCTCAATGGCACACAAGAATCAAACTGTAAAAAATATTTATAGCATCAGCCGCGGATACAAAAGAACAACAAAAAACTGTCGGATACAGTTACTCTCAGTGAAAGCTGTATGAGAGAGTCACACAGTTGAAGGAAAAAAAAAAAATTAATCTCTATTGTCAAACAATGAAGAGAGAGAAGGAGGTGGGGGTCATCTGAGCCGGACAAGAGCATCACTGATAACACTACTGCATGTTTTAAAAAATATTCTGGTTCAGGTCAGTCACATTGGCTGGTCTGTTTTTTTTACACTGCTCATTTCTGTAATCTGGGAAAACAAACAAAAACCATTTATGTTAGGGACAGATTAAAACACACTCAGTGCCGCATTAACTGTTTCGGGCTCAGGTCAGGTTCAGGTCTGACCTCGGTGCACACACAGGCATTTCCCGTCTCAGAGTCAGACAGTCAGCTTGTTTTTCAGAATTAACATGCTACAATTAGACAGAACATTTTAACTAAAGGCTGTAAAACTATGGAACTGTTAAATGTGTCACATGCATTTAACACCAGTGTGTCAAACAGGGTGTTTTTGCAAATAAGTGTTATCTTTTTCAACATTTTCATGTATTTCAAATTACTGACACATTTAAAAAGATATTATATCATATATATACAAAATAGCTCAAAAAGAGGTGCAAGAGGAGGTAGTTGTGGTTTGATTGTAAGTGGGTTTAAAGAACACATTTCCTCTTAAGAATGGTTGGTGAATGAGGCCCAATGAGAGTAGAATTCAAACGTAATCATAACATAGTACTGCATGGATAGCTTGTATGTCCTTCAATGCACACTTCTATCATAAAGGACATTACTCACTGGAGACTGGGTAAAAACTGAAAAGACTGCTCTCATAACATTTAATTTAATCAGATGTGTGTTTCTTCCTGTATAGACTGGGGAGCTACTAAAAACTAATGTTCATGTCCTCTTGCTGCATTGTTCTGATTTTGTACAGTTCATCTTACAGTAAACAAGCCCTTCCTTTGGGCTGTTTGTATTGTAACAGTTTACTGTTATTACCATTACTATTGAAAATAGTAGTGGCAGATCGATTAAGGCGCCATGTCACTAATTGTGATTAAAACCAAACAGTTACAAGACTAGTAAACAAGTAGGTGGCACATTAACTCATTGCATGCCTCTGCCAGAAGAATCTCCTTGTCTGTTGCTATAATTGATTGGTAATTCGGGCTGATTGCTGATCAGCTGATATAGATTCTATAGATCTTAATCTTGGATCTTTGTGCTGAACTGAGTCCAGTTTTACACAAACTGACCCGACAGAACCTAACCATCCCAGTGCAAACACAAGTACTCACCATTCTGTGTTGAAGCCCCATTTGGAAGCTTCAGCACTTGAGCTCTGCTGATGTCTTGCTATTTATATGGATAGTAACATTCGTCATTTCCCTAAGATGACATTCTTATAACACTCTGTACAATCTCATTCTTGGTTGTTTTTTTTATGTAATTTCCATTTCCCCTCTTGTCTGGCTCTGGCACACACAGATGACACTCATCCTTAATGCCACCTACAAAACTGCTTGTTTGGTATGCAGTTGGTGCAAGCAGCCAGTGAGTACACCAGCAGCTGGTTCTGAGACAAAAAAATGAGCATGGGGTAAATAAGCAGAAAAAAGGCATACATAAAACACATAAAATACACCCGAGTGAATAGACATTCAATAACTAAGCTGGATTACTACACTGGTGAATGGATGATCTGGCAACGACAGGAGAGATGAGCTGGGGTTTTGTAGACTGAGGAGAGGTGGAGTAGATGAGGAGATGAAGCTCAGCTGTGCAGGTAGTAAACAGGAGGCCCCACGCAGCTCCAGGTCGAGACACATGGGGAAAGGAGAGCAACAAGAAATAATAGAAAACCTGGTCCTAACACCCTGCCAGTTCAATGTTTTGCATATTGTTGACTCGTGAACAGAGATGCTATCCTCTTCCAATGATTCTTTCAAGACTTTAGTTGTAACTTTAGGGTCCTTCTGTATGTAATTGAGGATTCTGTGTCTTTGGAGTCACCTTGGCTTGGTGCCCACATAGGGAGACTTGCCAAAGTAGCAAATAGTCTTTATTTATTTACTGAAAATGTCTCTAACTTTAGACTGATGGATGGATGAAAGAAGTCTTTGAGATGATTTTGTAACCCTTTCCAACATTGTGCAAATCAACTACTCTTGATTGTGGGCCTTGGTTCACATCAGCAGATACTTCTTGTGAGTAGCGAACTCAAAATGTTTGAGTGGTCAAAGTTACTCTAACCCATACCTCCATATTTGTTTCATTTATGGGACTCCAGAACTTCTGACACCAATAAGCTTTTGCTTAAGTTGATCTATGAGTTCAGATTCTTTTTACCAAGCTACGCTATGAATGTTTGAATAATGCATTCAATATGGACAAGAACAATGCAATTATTTGTGTTATTTGTTAAAATAAATTGTGAACTGTTGCTTTTTGTCATTTAGATAGGATCAGCATGACCAGACCATGCTTTATAAAAAAGATATACATAAAGGCTTGTAATCCCAAAGGGTTCACATAATGTTTCCTGCCATTGTAGGTCACTTCATATCCAGATAACGTTACATCACAAAAAAAACACATTTCTGATATAAAATGACAATATGGAAAAGCCCATTTCTTCTTACTTTCTCATATTTTATAATATACTGTACACAAATAACAGGTACATATTTGATTATTGTCCTATTTTTATTTAGACTCTTTTGTGCAAAATATTAGTGTATTAAATATGTAAAGATAGATGGGAAAAAAACAAAGACCTGTTTAAGTACAAGCTACTCATTGTGTCTTGGCTGGTTTGCGACATTTTCTGAATTGTCTGTATCATGTTGACTAGGCTACATGCTTGTGTTGCATTCACACACATTTCCTGCCTATATCTGTGCTGTGTGGAAGAGGGCAAAGCACTTTCCAAGTAACAAAAAATATTGCTGCAAAGACATATTTGTTACACAATTAAATAAATGATAGAGATTCTTGTGCATGTTCACTCAATATATGTCATCATACAGTATATCACACAGCCCTAGCTAATATTAACATAAGAATGTGCAGGAGAGACAATAGTATTAAAATTAATATCACAGAAATGAAGAACACATATTCTCCTCAAAGAGCTGTTGTTGGGATGTTGAGGTTGTTTTCCAGGTTCTTTGTGGGGCAGATTATCACCTTCTTGTTTTTTAAAATTGCTTAATACATGCTTGGCTTGTTGTTTTGTAATGCATATGAGGAAGCTCATTACCATACCCTGCACCTGTCACACACACACACACACACACACACACACACACACACACAAACACACACAGAGCTCTGATCCCTCCCCCCATCCAAGACTCCAGGTCAGGAACAAAGACTTAAAAACCTACACACACACACACACACACACACACACACACACACACACACACACACATTTTGCTTTCTGGACCAGTCAGGACATGAGCATCAGTACTGAAGCAGTGTGTTAAGGTTATTTTAAAGAATATTTTAATGGTATTTAGCCTTTTTCTGCTTGCCATTTCAAAATTTGGATTAGCTCCCTAGTATAAGGTCTGCAGAAAGTCAGGACAATCTGATATGTGCACAGCTGCATAGTATTACTGTAAAAGCAAACATGAATTGGAATTACGAGGACTATAAATCTAGACACAAAGACACTCTTCTAGTTCTTGGGCACATTATGTTTTTTTTGATATTTAAAGATGAAAGACAAAAGAATCTTGAGAACTCAGATCCACAGTCTTTTAGTTTTAATATTATCATATATAATAAACCGTTTAGTTCACCATTCACCAAAAATATGAGCATGTTCAATGAATGGTACTCTTTTAGTGCATTCATACACAGCACTGAGCATTTTCATAAATCTCCCAATATCAGTGCTAACATGGAGATGTTTACAAGTGTGCTGTAATGTTCACAATGTTGACCATCTGAGATAAGTGACTTCATGCATTCGCTAACATTTGCTCTTCAGCACTTAAAAAGATACAACTGTTGGATTGTCTTTGGTTTATATTTATAAAACCTTCATTGCTTATGATAAGCTAATCACGTGGTCTGTTTTCTCTGTTTCAGGGAAGTGTGAGGACAGTTTGGCCACTCCCCTTCCTTACAGCTCCTTCACCAGTTCATCTGTATATGCCAAAGGATATGGAGCTGGTTATGCCAAACTCAATCGAAAACAAGGTATGCCTGTGCAAGTATTGTCCCTACTATTGTGAATGTACATTGTAAAAGTTCATGGTTGATATTCGGATGATGCACTTTAAAAGGTCTTAGAACACCCCTATTTTTCCAGTGTGTTATTTATTAAAATCTTTGCAGTTCAAGCCTGTAGTGAATAAATGTAGATGAGCTGAAAAGTGTCCAAGGTAAAGATAAAAGCTCACCTCACCAATAACTGACAAACCATAAAGTAATGCAAACTATTCATTCAGCAGCCTCCACCTTAGTTTATGACTTACAAACCCTCTGTACAAAGGCAGTGTTGGAACAAGCTGTTCCTATGTCCTTTATTAAAAAAAGATGTTTGTACATATATCATGTCAAAATGAAAACTGTTGCACGGAATGGTGAATCATGAAAGAGAGATATATCTTCAGTGTAAGATATGTGCTTCAGCTCCTGTTCTTTTGAGCTTGTCCTTCAGCATTCATTAATTTATCAAGTACTGTGTCCCCAATTTGATTATTTTCTGGAGTAGTAAACAGTCCTGTAAAGTGTAATCCAATGTTAATTCTCTTTTCATTAATACATACTGTCTATAAAAATTTCAAGAATTATTTATGTAACTATGGTAATAAAATGAAGGCAAAGGAACATGCTTTGTTGAACCACGATAATTTCCCTATGCTCCTTGCACGAATTGACAGACAGATAAGGAGGTAGAGGTTAATCCAAGGATGCCTCTGGGCTTGACACAAACTTTTTGAAACCACACAAAGACTCTATGATATGTCCAATTAGACATCTAGTAAATTTATCATATGGCAAGCTTCCCTTGTACCATCGTCTTGGAAGGTGGCCATGGTTAGCCCAATTTCTAAATCTGCGGAAACAGACCCCAAGGCTCCATTCTTGGTTATACAATATAACATTTTTACAATAACTGGCTTACTGAATCAAATCTCTTATTGAAGAAGAAGAAGAAGAAGAAGAATTACTTTTATTGTCATGTTAACACTTTTACATGCATACATGAAATTGTTCTCCGCATTTAACCCATCCAGTTGGCACCTGTTAAAAACACACATTGACAGATGCCATGTACACACATATACTTGTTCAAATGTGTTTCTGAAGAAATTTAAATTGCAGATGAGTTCAAGTATCTTGGGTCAGATTAGACTCCACATAACCTTCCTTGTTTGGCTCACCTCCTTTAAATAGTGAAATGACCTACCACTTGCAGTAAGGGATTGCTCTCCCTACCTATTTTAAGATCCACCTTAAATAATGAATTAAGGCAAACCAAAACTGTGATCACTTCTAATTGTATACATTGGAGGCTGTGTTTTGTCCTCTTTTACCCATGCAATGTTTATATATTTGTTTCTGTATGTTGTGCTTATGATGCATTTGTCTTTGTTTGTTACCTGCCTAGGGACTACAGGTTAGCATTCTTACTGGAATCTGGCATGTTCACATGTGGTGTTTTTAAAAAAGATGTTCATTAACATGCTATGTCCCTATCAAATAGATAAAAAATAAAATAAACTCATCCCCTGGATCACCATTCTAAAAATATGAGAAGCACATTGTTGAATTGTTTTCAATTCTTCATTGTAAATAGAAAAAATTAAAACAAAGATAAAATACCAACAATCTGTACATCAATTACAAATCTGAGGAAAATGCTTATCAGTTAGTTTTGTTTGAACATGATTAATTGAAAAGTTACAGACATAGTAGATACACAGATCTGAAAAAAGGACAGACGATCCTTTAAACCACCCCAATGCAGGAGTAACTCAGAGACTTCATCACTTAAATGTCTAAGAGATAACTTTGTCCCATCTTGGTTAGTGATCTCGATTTCAACTATTTGTACTTTTCGATTTCAATGAAGAAACAGTTTTATGATTTAATCTCATTGCATTTGACCATTGTGGACAAATTTGTGCTGCGTAAACCCAGAAGGTAATTTCAATACCTTCAGTTTTTATGGTTATGGATAATTACAAGTGCTGAGCTGTAGAATACAGTCCAGAATCCAGATACTCTGGTGCACAGGGTCACTCTTCATTATTTGGTAGTGATTGTCCACATCTGTGGCAGCAGCTCTCAGGCCCAGCATGCTGCTATGTCTAATAGAGTAACAGTTGTGCTAATCAACTCACCCAGTGCTGATCCCCTTAGCCCCCTCCATACGTCTCTCCTGCAGCTGGATGCCACCATGCCCACCCTCACAAATGGGATCTCATTATGCAAAATGTTTGGTTTGAAAGATGCGCTTTCTGATCTTTGTAAGGCCACTCTTCTCTATGACAGGTTCAGTAAACAGACTATCCTCTGGAATTTTCTTTTGGTCTCTGAGGCACTTAAAATCATTTGCATAGACTGCCAACTGAAGAAGTAGAGCTGGCTTTTGTAATCCCTTGATACCTGGACTAGATTAATCTTGAAACGGTGAGAGCAATATATAAAATATTTGCAATGGTTTAGTAGAGGGACCTTTAATAAGATAAGTGCTCAAGAGCTCTCAAGTTTTAGGATAAGGTATAATTTTCTTTACCAAGGATGAAGCCTGTGGGTTTGGTGTTAGATAGAGCACCTCTTTCCTCTTGTAGAGATACAATGGTGAAGATACATTTAATGTATCCATGTGACGACATTACCATCAGTTCCAAATGACACCCTTTTTCTGCTCTTCTTCCTTTTCATGTTCTCTCATCTTTCACCTAGGTGCTGGAGGCTGGTCACCCCTGGATACAGACCATTACCAGTGGTTACAAGTGGACCTGGGTTCTAGGAAGCAGGTGGTTGCCATAGGGACTCAGGGTCGCTACAGTAGCTCCGATTGGACCAGCAAGTATCGGCTGCTTTACAGTGACAGTCAGAAAAACTGGAGGCCTTATTTACAGGATGGTAACATCTGGGTAAGGACAAATCTTATTGATGTTGTGTAGTATTAAGTCATCTCATCTAATCTAAACTTCACTAGAACCCTTTGAAAACCATTATTTACAATTTCTGTCAAATGAAATCATTGCAGCAACATCCTACTATTGACACTGGCAGTTTCTTGGGGATACATTACCATAAATACGATTTTTAACTTTCCTAACAGTCGCCAAATTGTTGCAGCGACTGCATCTGCAAGGTCTTTGTACAAATATTCACTAGTTTATTGTTGGATGATCCAAGGGTGCATCTCATATGTTTCCCTCAAGGTATTGTAACATTACATTACATGTCATTTGGTGGACACTTTTATCCAAAGCAACTTACAATTTGTGCATTCAACATATTTTAGGGGCCATTAAGGGGTTCAGTATCTTTACCACTCTACCACTGAGCCACAGCATATATGTCTCTCCCATTGTACAAATATTCTTTTTCACTTCTACTGAACTGACCCAACATCTACTAAACAGAGCTGTTCTACCATTGTAGCTTAGCAAACAATACTGAATATGAAACTCCTGGAAATAAAAAAAAACAGAATAGTTAATTGTTCATGGTCATGTAATTGCTTGTCTTGTATCTGTAGAGCAGAATGTATTTACCATTTAATGCCAGATTGAGCTGGACCAAAACTAAAACTCAGAGGCACAGAAACCCACAAAAGGTGGAGTAAAGTGCACTATTTATGCTTTGATTCTAAATTATTTTAAAATTCTTAATCTTTTCAAACTCAAAAAGCATGGCATTTGAAGAAAATGATTGCATCCCAGTGGAAGCCACCTCATTCTCTTAATGTTAAAACTTGGCTCCTAAAAACACTATGTAGGGTCAGTGTATTGCTCCTAACTTTCTGTAATCTGAGTCACAGCATGTTTCATAGCAGAAACACGTCTGCAAATGTCAATGAAAGAAAAAGAAAAATTGGATTCTGTATCTTTAAACAAAAAGGTTGAGGTCTTTTATAAGTACATACTTTTTATATGCAGTATATATAGCATAAGTCAGACATGGCCAGGGTGCAGGGAAAATCCAAAAACAAGTAACAAACCATCAGAGCAATCTAGCAAAGTACTAGGGAAATGGAATAGACTGACGGGGGAAACCAGGAATAGGTGTGGTTGGTGAGGGCTACAAGTAATTCACATTAAGAAAAGAACCAAGATAAGAAATCATTTTAAAAGGATGTCAGGAAGTTTCCTTTGCAAGCAGCCACAAATGTGTGAAAGTGACCAAGATGGGCAGTCTCATTGTCCAGTCTGATACATGCTGGCTTTTCTTGCAACCCAAATATATTATTTGCTTTACAATGTTCAATCCATGTATTTAATCCAGTTTTTCAAATGTTTGTTATTATTTATCTTTTCAATATAAATTTGAACTGATAAGTCATTACAAGTTTAATTACTAAGTATTACATGTACCTGCCAGTATATTGCATTGTATTTGTTTTCTGTGTGTTTCAGACATTTGAGGGAAATGTCAATATTGAGGGCGTGGTTCACCATGAACTGCAGCACACCATTCTGGCTCGCTACATTCGCTTCATCCCAGTGGACTGGAGCAAAGAGGGACGCATTGGCGTACGTCTGGAGCTCTACGGCTGCTCATACTGTGAGTACAAGAGGATAAACTGCTCCACCAACAGTCTACTCTGTGCCACAGTATATGTCACTCTAGATGTTTATGAATTAGATTTGATTTTACCAACAAATTATTTTCCACCAGATGTATGAAGAACTAAACTGTTGCAGTATCTATACATTTTATTTTAACAAACCCCCAAAATACAATAAAACATTTTCTAGCCATAAATATACTAATTAAAAAGCTCCTCCACTGCACTGCTGTCACATGGTTGGCTGATAATTGTATAAACATTCTCTTTTAGTTATTAATGAAAGACTATCAGCATATAAACAAGGACTTTCATAAAAGTAAACCTGTTTAAGTACACATTAACAAATGTGTTGTCTAGCTCATTTTGCTAAATATAGGAAATCTGTGAATGATAAGTACAAGAGGACAGTGGCTGTTACAACCCATGGCCATACCAGGAGTTTTGAATAATGAAGTTTTGTTCTTTGTTTTTGTCTGTGAAATGTTTTATGCTTATCTGTGAACAGCCTTTTTGTACAGTCTTTTTGTAGTGTCAGATCCACTACAACTTGAAAACAAGATGATGCTTGCCACATGTTTATCATGACTTAAATGTAGCAAAATGCTTTTGCAGGATTATAACATTGATGATGGAAATTGGAGGGTGACAGTTTTATGCTCTTCTTGCAACTGTGACACACAAGAAAAAAGTGTATCATGGTTCAGCCAGCAGACATTTTGGATCCCAGCTTTGTTCCATTGGTAGAATACAGAATTTCCTTTTTGTCATCCAGGGGCAGATGTGATCAGTTTTGATGGCCAAGGTGTCATCTCTTACCGCTTCAGGAGTAAGAAGATGAAGATTCTGAAGGATGTCATCTCACTGAAGTTTCGAACCACAGCTAGGGACGGTGTCTTGCTCCATGGAGAAGGACAGCAGGGAGACTACCTTTCCCTCGAGCTCCGCAGGGCTCGACTGCAGCTCAGCATCAACTTAGGTAGCATTTCTGTAAAATATGTGTAATTTAAAGCACAGCATTACGTATGTCTTGTGATGGCCACACAGCCAGTTCTGTTCTATCCAACTCTTTGAATTGTATTATCAAGCGCTGTCAAACATCATTAACGCAACCTGTTCGTGTGTTTGATTTGCAGGCAGTAACCAGTATGGTTCCATCAAGGGTCACACCTCTGTGATCAGTGGGAGCTTACTGGATGATGACCACTGGCATTCAGTTGTCATAGAGCGTTACCGGAGGAATGTCAACTTCACTCTGGACCATCACACTCAGCAGTTCAGGACCAATGGAGACTTTGACCACCTTGACCTGGACTATGAGGTAAAGACTCCATATGGCTCATGCTTTCGGCCATTTTCATCAAGCAGTGTTGTTACAGATTTTTTCACAATTTTACATACATTTATATCTCCTTGCATAGAGGCTCCCTGGTGGTTCATGAGCTTTGGTTGCCACTTGCCAACCATGAACCCATAGTCCCAACTTTGTATATGGCAAAGAGATATTTATTTATAATATAATATTTTGCCATTTTTCATTGTAGTCACTGAAATATACAGTAGAACTAAGCAAAGTCGTCATTAGTTCTTGGAAAGATCTGCATCCACACTAAACCACCTGGTTAAGTCTTCCATTGCTTTATGTACAATTTGTTTTGTCCTGTACACACTACACACACTGCAAGCTTTTTCAAATTGATCCACTCTGGACATGTTTTGTTATCAGTTAAAATTTTTGGGGGAGAAAAACTTAGACAAAATACAGAGACAAAGATAGGTTTTAATATTTATTGCTTTTACTTACTTAACTTATCTAGCTCTGCATGGACATACTCTTACTGTCAGGCCTTGATTTGCAATAAAAGAGTTCAGTTCAGTTGAGGTCATGTTAATCATGTAGCAAACTCTTATAATAGCTAATCAATACTGTTGATAATGTGTGTGAAGAAGATGATGGAGACACTCTGTCGCTGTGTTCATGGCTATCTTAGCTACTACTGTTTGTCTTACCAATGAACTTCCGTCAGCCCAGGCAGAAAGTTCCTATGGTTTTAAGGAAATAAAAAATAAAATTACATCAATTTCACATTAGACTGAGTCTCCCTCATCAGCAACCAGTGACCTTTACTAAATGTTGATTTATATTTATGCAGGGACAATATCCTAGTAGATTTATTTATTTTCTTATCAAGCTTCGGTTTAATTTTGTTTTGAAGGCTGTGTTAAAGTTTACAGTCTTGAATCATATCTCTGACTGGTGTCACACAGTTTTATCAGTTTAATTTTACCTTCACTGTTTAAATTCTTTTAAACGTTTTATATTGTTTTATGGAATTTTGAATTGTTGTTAGGTTTGTCAATAGTGTAACCTTCGGGCATACAAGGGATATTCACCATCTTGTCCTATGTTCTAAAAAATGATTACATAATTACAAATAGCTGTCCAGTTGGACTTTGTATATGACTTAAGCACATAAAAAGGGATATACAAATAATACAACATAAAAGACAGAAACACAATGCTTTAAAGCGGGCAAAGCAATTTTTTCAGTTACCTAAAATCGAATTATCTGATTTTATATGGAGTGTGTGTACGGGTCACAGTGAAGATCACAGAGGATCACAGGATCTATATCCCATAGTCCATGTTGTCCATGTTGCTTTGCCTTCAGATCAGCTTTGGAGGTGTGGCTGTGTCAGCAAAGCCAAGCTCAGGAGGCAGAGAGAACTTTGTGGGCTGCATGGAGGGAATCACCTACAACGGAGACAACATCACCAGCCTTGTCCGCAGGAAGAAGGTGGACACGTCCAGCTTTGTAAGACAACTCCCTCTGACTCAGTGTGTGTTATTGTGTGCATGTGTGTGTGTGAATAAAATGACACTTTTACCAACTCTGCACACTTTTGCCATTCAATGACATTTCTGAGGATTTCATACTTTTTTTAAGCTAGTTTCTTATTGCACTAAACTGTTTCTCATCTTGGTGGTAACTTTTTCTTGAAGGAGAATATTTCACAACACATGTAATAGCTCTGTAACAAAAGGGTTGGAGGGTTAGGGTTAGTCAGAGCTTGGAGACCAGGATGATGAAATTGGATGTTTAAGCTCAGCCAAAAACAAGTAAGGGTAAAAAAAGGCAGGCAGAGAGAGACAAGCTTCTTCAAGTGCAGATCAGGGCACCAAGAAGCATGCAAAATGTTGCAACACACAGATGCTGTCAGGAGAGGAATATGGCCAGAAAGGAAGGAAGGTTAGACATTGGGAATCTTAGGAATACTAAAGTAGGAGTGGCTGTATCTGACATGACATGACAGTTGCAAAGTGCATCGCAGAAAGAAAGGAAGACAAGACTAATGTGACGTATTTCAGCTCAATGGCTCAAACCTGCTCCTCAGCTTGTCCAGGTTTTTTAATGAAATGGTGCAGTTGTGTGGATCTAAAACCCTGTCATTACTTTTCCAACATATTTTATCATGCATATTAATGTAATTTATGTGTGGTGAGGTCATTACTATTTTGCTGAAAGACTTTCCAGCATTCCTGTATTTTTAATAAATAAATACAACAAAAATGAAACCTGACTAAGGAGCAGTCTGTAGTTTAGTCAATCCATGACTATAATTCCATAATTCCTCTCTCCCACTTTAGCGTAACCTGACTTTTTCGTGCGCCGAGTCCAACTCCTTCCCTGTCTTCTTCAACTCGACCTCCTTCCTGCGGCTGCCCGGTCAGAGTGACAGTGACACTCTGTCAGTAAGTCTGTCTTTCAGGACATGGAACCCCAATGGGCTGCTAATGTTTACGGCGCTGGCTGATGGCTGGGTGGAGGTGGGGCTGACGGAGGGCAAGGTCACCGTCTACATGAATGTGACACAGAGGAAGAACACGCGCATTGACATCTCATCAGGTGAGCTGAACTCATTGGTCACCAGAACGGAAGTTCAGGAACCTTCAGTTAGTTGCATTAGTTGTCACCTTTGTTTTGTTGCCTGCTTCAATTTGGCTGTTCTCCTGACTGAAGTGTGTTTTTCTTCTCAGGCTCAGGTCTGAATGATGGCCAGTGGCACAGTGTCCATCTGAATGCCTTGGAGAACTATGCAATGCTGACTGTGGATGGAGATGAAGCATCTACAGTCAGAACAGCCATCCCCATTCAAATCCAGACTGTAGGAGCCTACTACTTTGGAGGTAGCTAAATATTAATATTAAGTTTGTGGTGGTGGCAGTGCAAGTGATATTGTCACACAGTGAACTACACAGTTACTTTAGTTTCTTTTAGTCAAATTAGAATTGTTTAAATTAAGTCTGTTACCACAACACAGTGCCACTTTATATTTCAATTAGATTTAATTTGTATTGCACCAAAATCATCAACACATATTATCTCAAGGCACTTTAAACAGTACGGTCCAGACCTCACCATGTTATAGAGGAACTGAACAATTCCCACAACTAGCAGCACTGCTGACTGTGGAAGGAAAATATTAAAAATATATATTTTAACAGGAAGAAACCTTTAGAATCAGACTTCAACTGGTTATGGTGACCATCTGCCTCAACAGGTTGGGGTGAGCAGAGGAAAATGGTGGGCTGACAAGAGGGGAGAGAAGAGAGAGATGGAGAAAGAGGAGAGAGAAAAACTGTGAAACTTGTAACATATTGTATAATGAAGCAGGATTGATGGGAGTGTAAAATAGGGAGTTTAAGAAGAACAACAACTATAGTTGGGCATTACAGGGAGGTCTGCGGCTTTATCCAAACTAACACATTTTAGCTAAACAAATCACTTTTGCTTCATTGTCTGGCCTCTACACTTCTCCAGCCCAGATATTTGTAAATGCTGCTGGTCCCATTTTAGTTTGAAGAATCTGGGATTGTGTTTTAGTCTTGATGGATAGACATTTGGAAACTACTAAGTGGGTGCACAAGTTCTATTCCTGTTTTTATCAGTCATGACTCAACTTGTCTGGAGGGGATCTGTTTTTTTTAAATATCATTTTAACACAAAAATCTATTAGTGTGGATATAGCCTGTGTGTGAATGTTGAAATGTTTTATTTCAATCAATCTATCAATCAAAATTTATTTGTATAGCCCATATTCACAAATCACAATATGTCTCATATGGCTATTTGACTGATTGCGCATTGCAATATGAGTCAGAGTCAAACCTGAGTCTGTGTTTTTTTCCAATGTATTTCAATGGCGTTCCTCATAAATTCTAGAGTGAATCAAACAAACAAAGCAGACAGTCTGACATAGACTGTATCAGGGACACTTTGGTAATGTCTTCCTTTTTTGAGAATGAGAAAAATGGTGGGATTTTGGGACTCTAGTTTAAACCTGGTGAGTGCTTTGGAGATATTTTGATGGCTGATTCCAGTTTTTACTACTGATTAGCAATAAAAAGTACTAATCAGTAGATTTATATAACTTTCAGGCCAAAAAATCTAAATAAAGGTTAGGTCATTTCCTCATCTGTATTCTATTTCTGACATTGTGTGTGTGGAGAAAGTTTGAAACAGTATTTGGAACTTTTTGTTGGAAAATGTATCCCCTTCAGATAACTGAAGAACTTAAGGGTAAAAATAAGTGTTTCTGGTGTGGTGATTAAGACAGACTGATTATTTCAATCAGTCTTCTTCCACTAGTTGTAACAATGACTTTTTACCCCCTCTCTTTGTGTCCAGGCTACTTCATGCACACTAATACCAGATCAGCGCAGCGCTCCTTCCAGGGCTGCATGCAGATGATCCACATAGACGACCATTTAGCTGACCTCAGGGCTGTGGAGCAAGGCCACATTGGGACTTTTGAAAATGTTAGCCTGGATATGTGTGCCATTATTGACAGGTATACAACTATACAATTATAAACTGGATGTAATGAAATAAGAGGAAGTACGAGTTAGTTGCTCAGTGGCTAGTTCTGCTGTCTTACAGCTAATGTGGGTTGTCAATGACAAACTTGCGGCTGGGAGAACTGGGACTTTTTCCCCCAATAGGCTGTAACACAAATTGGTTCCCCTGCCTCAATTCATGAAAGAACAAAACAGCTCCACCCACACATTTACCATTTGTGTGTTTGTATCTATATTATTGAGTCAAACAGGCAACAGCTGACTTGTTCACTTGAATTAAGTTTTGATTAAAAAACTTGCCTAATAGGGCTTAACAAGTTGTAATATTCTCTGCCCCTAACCCTCGACAATTGAATTACTCTGGGAAAAAGTTTGGATTTTAATTTTTCACTTTGTCACTCTGTGACCTGTTATTACAAAATATATAGTAGTTCTTTATTCCGTGCAGACCTGGTATTAACATCCATCCTGAGATCCGATCACAAGTGGTCAGTGTTAACCACAGGTGTGAACGTACCCAAATGTGTCCTGAGATCTGATCACTAAAACCACATTTGGAGGTGCTCTGGATCCCATCTGGCCACATTATTTTTGCTGTGTGAACGCAAATGCATCCTGCACCACTGGCACAATATCAACACAAACAAACCAACATATTATGATTGATACTTTTGTCAAATGGGTAAAATCTTTCTTCACAGCAAAGCTGCACAAGATCCATTTGGCCCTTGACCTGACCTCTCTCTCTCTCCCTATCTCTCTCACTCACTCACTCATGCAGACACACACACGGGACACACACACACACAGTGACATTGGACAAATCTTTGAACTCAGACTGGGTAATAACAACATAATTTGGTCTTCGCGATTACAGATGACATGTATGTTTATTTGCATACAGAGCAAAAAAGTGGTCACAAGAGATGCATTTTAATACCAGGATGTGAACATCTGTGCTTAGAGTCTACTGTTTAGCACATGATTTTTGCAATGCGTAGCACAAACAGTATGTGATAGCCTCCAGAGGGGATCTGGTGGTGTATTCACAGTCTAAAGTTGGAATGATTTTTTACACCCACTCCATCCCCCCATTTATCTGTTTCATAAAAGGTGTGTTCCCAACCACTGTGAGCATGACGGTCGCTGTTCTCAGACGTGGGACACATTCAGCTGCAATTGTAGTGGCACTGGATACACTGGAGCTACCTGCCATACCTGTAGGTGGACACACGCACACGCACACACACACACACACTCGCACGCACACACACACACACACACTGTATGATGTATGCATACCATCTAGAGTTGTGTGTCTCCTCTGTAGCGATGTATCAGCAGTCCTGCGAGGAGTATAAGCACCTGGGGAAGAGCTCAGGGAGCTACTGGATCGACCCAGACGGCAGTGGCTCTATTGCCCCCTTCAGAGTCAGCTGTGACATGACAGGTGAGATGTTCAATTATCTCTATCTCGGTTTCTCTTGTTACTTCTTGTGGCACAAACATGAGTTCCACCATCAACATCAATCTTCAGCAGCTGCACAGCAGCAAACAAACTGCATAGTGCAAGTTGATCTTTCCTGAGGAAGGTGTGGAGGCATTGATGGCTTGTTTTCTTGTCTTTTAGAGGAAAAGGTCTGGACCATACTAAAGAACAACCTGTCTCCTCAGACTTCAGTCACCAGTCCAGACCAGGAAGGGAAAGCAGTGCTGCAGATAACTTACAATGTGACCAATGAACAGGTACACAATAACCACACACTTACCTTGACCTACTTCACCTACTGCATATGTGTCTGTGGTGGTTCAGCCCATTGAAAAGCATAATAATCTATAGATTACTTTTTATTATCATCTAAAAATATAAATATAATTAAAAATCAACTGCCACCTCGAGGAAGGAAGAGCCCTAGGACCAATAAGAAACACAGGTTCTTTTTAAATGGGGTTAGCAAAGTTAATGAACATAAGGTCACTTATTAACAATCAATGAAAACATGAGGAATGGCACTAAATTATCTGATAAAATGAATTACTGAGTGCCCCAGTCCACCATTGTGCCAAGCAGGTGAGACCTTGGCCTTAGGAAATAGTCAGCTGTGTTGTCCACAGCACCCCACTTCTTCTCCACACAGGTCACTCCTGGATCATCGCCCACTCCCCTGATCTACCAAACTGTCTGAGGAAACAAATGTTAACTGCCAGTATCCCCTGGATACACCAACCCAGTTTCCCCACCCATTGCTTGGCTCTGCAGACAGCCCTATGATGTCCACTACATTAGGGAATGAAAATTACTCAGATTCTTGGGCGGTAATGACCACGTCCAAGACTGGAGTATTCGCTCACTGCTTGGCTCACTTACCATGGTTCACTTACATGGCTGCATGCCCGCCTTTGGTCCCCTCAGTCTCTCTCTGGTTCCATGGTCAGATTCAGAGAACTGGTCACAATTTCAAAAGACACCAATATTATAAAACACGAAAAATGCAGCAACTTAAAAATATGTTAAGACCCCTATAACACGTGACTCTGTCATATACTTTGCTTTATTGTGGTGGGGCAGTTGTAGTTGTTGTAATACAGATGGTAACCATGGAGGGATACCTCAGCATTAAGCACAGGAGACAGAGCATTGATTTCAGCAATTTTATGGCAGTATTCACAAAAAGTCCATGCCACCGTTACTTATAGTGATAGGATACAACAAGAGGAGGTGTAAATACATGTAAGCTATCCATTCTAACCAATTTTTGTGGGGGCCTGAGGCGTTACCAGGCCAAATGAGAAATACAGTATATTGTTTCCAGTGGATTCTACCATGGGGTCTTCTACCAGTTGAATGACAGGAAACTTCCAATAGAACACACCCAAGATACATCTTGCTTGGATGCCCTTTTGAAATGACCTCTTCTCCGAGCTCCGGATTCTGTCTATAAGGATGAGTTCATTCAACATAAAGGAGGAAACTCATTTTGCGTGACTCGGCTGACTCTCATTCCAGCTGCTTCACATAATCACAGAATCGCTGTATTGTGATATTGTCGTAATCGTGGGCTATTTATCGAGTATCATATTGCATTGTTACCTTGCGATTGCCACCACTTATTAACACTCAAACTTTACACTGCTGGGGGAGACAGACTGATGACGCCAACAGAATCTCTTTGTCTGCAAAAAAGCACTGAGTCGAATCTCCCATCCTTGAAGATCACACATAGCATTTAAGACAATGTACACCCATGTTTGACTTCCTCCCAGGAATATGAATACAACTCTCACTTATGTTCCAGAGTTGATGGTTCATCGTAGCGAATTGTATCGTTACGCTATACTCTCACTGTGCCCACAAACATTACCTGAATGACACAGTTGTAAGTCATAATACACATGTAGATTGGATGAGCAAATTCCCATGACCCCCTCTAGTAAATAAATCATGTTTAGTATGACTGGGTAAAAATTATGATAATGTATAGTGTTTCCAGATAATGTTTCTTAATGAAAGCATATATATATATATATATATATATATATATATATATATATATATATATATATATAATTAAATTGCATTTTATTGTATATTTAAAGTTGATTTGTTATTTATACAAGAAATGTTTATTCCACAGCACAATTTAATATTTATGTAAAGAACACATAAAGATTTTTTGTCTCTGTTGCTTTTCGGTGTGTGTGTCCAGGTGTTGTCAGTCACTGGCAATGCAAAGTACTGTGAACAGTATGTAGCGTACGCCTGCCGAATGTCCCGTCTGCTCAACACTCCAGGTAAAATTATCCATCAACAGCTTCATCTGTTTTTCTGTGCATCAATGTACTATTAATAATACAGTACAACAATTTAAAAGCCTTTCATAGAAGCAGGATATGTTGAAAATTAACATGTAGTCTGAAAAATCAGTCCAGTAAAAGCGAAAGTAAACTAACTCTGTGTTACATGTTTGACCCACAGATGGCACCCCGTTTACCTGGTGGGTAGGAAGAGCCAATGAGAGGCATTCCTACTGGGGGGGTTCTGGACCAGGGATACAGAAGTGTTCCTGTGGTATCGAACACAACTGTACTGACCCCAAATACTATTGTAACTGTGATGCTGACCTGCGCTCCTGGTAAGTGAGCTGTGATAGTGAAGTTCCCAGAGTGTGTATGTTCACTTTACCTTCATTAAAGTAGCTTTACAGTTGCTAAGAGCCAGTAGCAGTCATCTTATTAATGCTTTACTATGGATTCTGTCTCTTTTCTAATCTATGTTGATTGTTAGCAGTTCGCTATATTTTTATTTCACGGTGTACAAAGGGTTATTTGGAAGAAATAACTAAGGCAAATATCAAAATGATATCTGTCCATTTAAACCTGATTCACATGTTTTGCACTTGCAGCTTGGACTCGTTATTATTTATCTGTTTTATTTTTATTTTACAAACATACATCCCACACATTTGAAATTATTTGCAGCATGCATATTCTGATAAGTCAAAAATATATGTACCTTTTTACTGTGAATATGTGCAGGAGGGAGGATGCAGGCCTGTTGGTGTATAAAGATCATTTGCCAGTCAGTCAGGTTGTGGTTGGTGATAGGAGCAGAGCTGGATCTGAGGCCAAACTGACAATCGGGCCACTCAAATGCCATGGGGACCGTGAGTGTCTTTCACACACACACACACACACACACACACACACACACAGTATAGTAGTAGTAGAAATCTATAGTTATTTGGACACCTATTGGCTGATTGATGCATTATGTAGCCAAATACATTTTTGAACTAAAATTGGTCCTCATAGCTATAGAAAAAACATACATTTATTCATCTTTCAGCAGAGACAATGAGCTATTATCTTCGATCAGTATTTAAGCAATATTGTGTCCTGCTGTTGCTTTTTAAAGGAAACTACTGGAACGCTGCATCCTTCACCAGCCCTGCCTCCTTTCTTCATTTCCCGTCCTTCAGAGGGGAAACTAGCACTGACATCTCCTTCTACTTTAAGACTTCCTCCAGTCATGGAGTCTTTCTGGAGAACCTCGGAACCACCGACTTCTTGCACATTGAACTAAAAGGTATGTCTGTGTGCACAAATTGTAGAAGCTTTTTAAATTAAAAAAACTCAGTCAGATTAATATGTGCTCCCTGCAGTGATTGCAATAGTGTGTTTTATTAAATACTAACAATGGGAGTAAATATTAGAAATGTCTAAAAACAACACATTCAGTTTCAGGTGCACATCAGTGACAAGTACATCGTTTTACTTAAGCAGGCAAGAAGGTGAAAAAGATAACATAATTTCACTGCATGACTACAACTATAACCAGGTTAGCTCCCTTAGAATAGTGTTTATCTGGTCAGGGTTTTTAATATATAGTCTAGGGGCCAGGCTGTTGAAGGGATTGGTGCTAACTGATAAAAAAAGAGATGTAAGTGCATGAAAGAAATGTGTTTTCAATAGTTTTTAGAAACAATAACAAGATGAATAATGAGATATGACAGGGAAGTACTAAGCAACAAGACAACACAGTAAGATAAATATTGCTATTGTCTGCTTTTTACTCTGGTGCGGTCAGGAGCCTACTTGGTCTTCTTCTCTTTTGACGTGGGTAGTGAGCGAGTGGAGCTTAGTGTGCGCTCACCGGTGCCTCTCAACGATGACCAATGGCATCGTGTGGAGGCTGAGAAGAACATCAAGGAAGCGGCACTGCAACTTAACGGACAGTACAGAGAGGTCAGACCCACCCCCTCCCAGGGTCACAAGAAACTGAAGTACTACAGCGAGCTATATGTTGGTAAGAGACACACAAACACACACACATATACAGGGCGGGGGGGCCGAGCAGACAGAGCCGGACCATGATCAGCGGGGCTGGATGCTGGAGTGCTCAGACCAACAAGTTGGAAAACTGTTCATTCATTGTATTTTGTGTTTTATAAGGTCATATAGACAACATATATAACTTACTAGATATTTAAAGCACTGAACTCTATAAAGCTAATATAGCTGTCATTGTACGTACTGTGCAACTGAACCATATGTAAGTCCATATGACTAGCGTATACCCCATGACTCCACAATTCCATTCAGCTCATGTAGGACTCTGCAGTTTTAAATAATGATACTGTAATATGCTATATCTGTATTGGATGGCAGCTGACAGTAGTATTACAAGTGAACATTGTTGGCAGAACTGCATCAACAGTGACAGGAATAAATGTCCAAACTGTTCCACCGCATGAACATGATTTATGCAAGAGTTGACCCTTTGACTTCATCGCTCTAACTGAACTAATATGTTTTCTATCTTATTTTGCAGGTGCCTCAAGTGGTCAGAGGGGTTTCTTGGGCTGCATGCGGGCGCTGAAGATAAATGGTATGACTATTGACCTGGAAGAGAGGGCAAAAGGGACCCCAGGAGTGAGTCCAGGCTGCCAGGGCCACTGTAACAGCTATGGGATGCACTGCAGGAATGGAGGGAAGTGTGTGGAGCAGTACAACAGTTACTCCTGTGACTGCTCACTCACTGCATACGATGGACCCTTCTGCACTGATGGTACAGCCTCCAACAATGAACTAGATTACATTGGATCAGATTAGATTACTTCATTGATTAGATTTGACCCAACAGTTTTACAGTGTTTGAATTAACCTTCTTGCTTCTGCTGGTGTGTGTGTGTGTTGTATGTGTGTGTGCCTGCATGCATGCTCTTTAGATGTAGGTGGCTACTTTGAAACCGGGACCTTGGTGCGTTATGACTTCTTGCCGGAAGTGGGACCTTTTGCAGTAAGAGAAGGGAAGAGCCTATCTGGTGATAGTGTTCCTAGTGTGGCCAACCTGACACAGGAGGAGCTGGTGTTCAGCTTCAGTACCACCAGCACTCCCAGCATCCTGGTCTACATCAGTTCCAGGACTCAAGACTACCTGGCTGTGGTGCTAAGGCACAATGGTGGGTTTATCAACATCATATTTCATTTATTTCTTCATTAAATAATCTAAAAATAAAAATATAATGAAATGCTGTTTCACTCATCCTATTAAAACATTATTTTCAGGGACTCTCCAGATCCGCTACAGTCTTGGGGGGCTAAATGAACCTCATACCATTGATGTTGACCATCGTAACATGGCCAATGGACAGCCACACTCTGTCAACATAACCAGGAACTTAAGAGAAATACGACTCCGGGTTAGTACTACCTGCCACTGCAGCAGTACGTTACCGTGGTATCTGTATCATGTATGGTGCAGATTTGGGCAAACCGGAGTATTGGTTTCCTGATGAATATCAGTCTCATGTTGATATGTCCAGTACAGAGCTGGAACAAGGTGTGTTAGCTACCAGTGTTAGCTTAGCCGATGAAAACTCTAAATCTCGCTGATCAGCATCATGTGCAACAGTTCTCCATGTTAAGATGAAGGTTACAGTATTTCTTATGTCAGTAAATGTTGTGATGAGCGGTTTTTGGTGTCACTGGTCCAATCCTCTTTCAATATTCAACAGCTGGACCACTACCCAGTTTACACATACACTCTGCCAGTGGCCTCGGACACCCAGTTCAACTTGGTAAAAAGTATCTTTCTCGGAAAAGTCTTTGGTAAGTGTGTAAATGATTAGAAAAATCACCTCAATGGTCACATGGGAATGACATATGGCTGATGACATGCTTTTTTTATTTAACTACCACTTAATGGGTGGCTGTTGCTCAGGATTGGGGAGTGGGACATCCTCTAACCAGAGGGTCAAACCCAGTCCACCCCATTCTGCATGCCATTCTCATTGGAAAAAAGTGCAGTTGCACTGTATGAATGGGCGAATGGCCAAAAACTGTACTGTAATGCGCTTCGTGTGATCATCAAGTCCTGAAAAGCGCTGTGTAAATACAGACTATTTATCAATTATAACAAAGTATTACCTGCCATCACCCTATTTTGGGAACCACTGCCATAAAGATTAAAGTCTGATGTGTCAGCATGTGCACACACAGTAAGGACAGTACAAGGTCTAACCCAGAAGTGTCCTTCACAGGGATTCTGAATGAATCCCATGTTAATCATGATTCTGTATCATATATATTGTGTGCTTTGGGCATCCTCTCCTGGCATAGAGATGAATGTCTTCCCTTTTAAAATAGATTCATTTCAGTGCATGAAACAATGCACTATGTGAAACAGTTGTATGTATTGTAAGTATTGAGAATCTGCTCCTGAAAACTTTCTGAAATTTCACTCATTGTGTGATCTGCTGTCTTTCTTGTAGAAACTGGACAGATTGACCCTGTCCTAATCGAGCGCTACAACACGCCAGGTTTTGTGGGCTGTCTTTCAAGAGTTCAGTTTAACAGTGTGGCACCTTTGAAAGCTGCGTTACGCTTGGGCCTGGCAGCACCTGTCAGCACCCATGGGATTTTGGTCCCATCCAATTGTGGAGCCTCACCCCTGACCATCTCCCCCATGGCCTCAGCTAGTGACCCTTGGCACATAGAAGCAGGTTGAGACACAGACAGATAATACATTTTCAAGCAAAATGAGGACATTCTAAATTTAAAGTCCAATAGAAAAGGGGTTTGTGTAAGAATTCTAACAGATAACAAATAACTGTTTGTCTGCAGCTGGAGCTGTTTTCCCTTTCAATGAGGACAAAGCCAGTGGTGATGGAGTGGATCGCAACTTTGTCATAATTGGAGGTAAACCTGACACAACATCTTTGTCTCCAGCAGAGGACGATGACTAGTGCCCTCTGTTATCAGTAAAGTCATTTTGCACTTCAGTGCATTCACAAAGTTTTCAGACTTTTCACTTTTTACATTCACACTCAATACCTCATTATAGAAATAATGTTACTGAATGTTAAAGAATAAAACAAACACTTTGCTATGATACTTAAAATTTAGCTCAGGTATTTCTCTTGATCATCTCTGAGATGTTTCTACACAGCGGTTGAAGTTCATTTGTTAATCAAGTCCAATTAATTGGACATGGTTTGGAAAGACACATACCATCTGTACTGTCTTTATGAGGTCTCACAGCTCACACAGCCATGAGATTGATGGAACTGCCTGAAACAGGTGTGTTGAGGCACAAATACGCTGGATTGAAGATTCCTAAAAGGCACAGTGGCCTCCATAATTCTTAAAGGAAGAAGTCTGGAACAAACTGGACTCAAATAGAGGAGAGGGTTCTGGATAACAAGTGAACAAGAACTGGACAGTACCTCTGGCTGGTCTATTCAAACTGTTTATTATTTGTTTTTTTACAATATTATGCACCATCGATTTGGGGGATTTCAAATAGGGTTGAAACTGTTGGACTTTGTAATGTCCTTCACTACATTTCCTCTCGAACATATTCTGTGAACTGTGATTTGACACAACTCATAATACTTCATCAACTGCAAAAGAAACAAAACCACTCTTAAATCACTTTGTATCTTGAGATCACATATATAAGAAAATCAGATTTGTAGCGTTAACTTCCAGATCTACTGTGATTAATTGCTTGATTGCTTTTTTTTCAGGCATCATCTCCATGGTGATCTTCATTGTCCTTTGCATCATGGTGTTTATGATCCGCCATCTGTTCCGTCATAAAGGCTCCTACCACACTAATGAGGCCAAGGGAGCGGAGTCAGCAGACTGTGCTGATGCAGCGATCATCGTCAATGACCCGGCCTTTACCGAAACCATCGATGAGAGCAAGAAGGAGTGGTTCATCTGAACCCCTCCCCGCAACATGGACACATGACGTTAGGATGTATGTAGTTTTCTAAGCATAGGCAGTTGTAGTGAGGGGACCACCTGTGGAACCTTGAGGATGTGCCGAACGGTTTATTTAAAAACTTTATGGACAATGGCATTATAACATGGGTATGAAAGCACAGGGGGATGCACTGCCTGGCAGAGCCAATGTTGAAATGTGGAGCAGTTTATTTAAACTTTATTTACAATGGACAGGATGACAGCCTTCATATGGTGTAGAGGACAGTGCCATTAAATTACAGGGCATGGATGAGTGAATGTGTTTTCCTTTATTTCTTTCTTTATTATAATTTAATTTCAATTGATCTTTTGTAATTTATTCATATCTAAGTGATATATTTTTTCATTAATTTATTTCTAAAGATTGATATCTGTATGCCTTTGTGCAGTGTGCTAAAATATCAGATTAGAAGATGGTGGCATTAATGGTAATCATAAAACTTATACATCGAACAATGCCAATAACCCTTCATATCTGTAGCAATGCTTATTATGTGCAGGGGGAGTTTACGTTATGTTTCATCATTATTTAAGTTTAATTTGAGCCTTAAGACTGAAACAGTTTGTGTGTGTGTGTGTGCGTGTGTGTGTGTACTTGCATGAGTGCACACTGACTGGATTCCTTGCCTTGTAGAGGAGATATAGCCGTGACAAATGACTGCATCTTTTAGGCTAAGACCCAAGGGAAAAAAGGAAATGCCACGCTTCTATTTATTTTTGCATCTACATAAATTACAGTGTCTCTTAATGACTTTTGATCATAGATTGTTGACATTATTACTGATGCATCTTTTATTTGACTTTAACTATGTTTGGTGCCAAATGAGTTCAGTGGTGTATGCAGCTTTGAACAACGACCTATGTCCTGTCAGTCAAACGAGAGGTCAACTCGCTGTTTTGGTTTAGTCAGACAAGATATTATTATTATAATCATATGTTCGTACATCAAGACTGGTGTGGAATACTTTTAGCTTAATGCTAACTGCTAGCCTAATTCCATCACAAGTAATCGTTTCCAACAACTTCAAATTTTCTTATTGTCTGTTATTTGTAAGCAACCTGGTACTGGAAGAGAGTTGATGAAATTAGACTGTCCACCTCAAACAACTGACTAGAGAAGAGAAGTTCATCAGTGTTCATTATATTGATTTTATAGTTTTCTTAAGTCTCTCTGAGTTTCAGGCTTACTGACTTTGGGGCTAGGGTAGTACGACATGTGAATTAGGCCAGCTTGTTTGTGATGGAGAGCAGCTACATGAAGCCTTGGCCGAGTCAGTTCAGGATACTTCTACTATCTGTCTTTTAAAAACCTGAGCTATGTATCTGATTTTGAAGTAGTAAGATGAGGTTTCTTAAAAAGAATGTTTGTTACACACATATAAAACTATGGCTTACATCCTGACATTTGATTGTATTGCATCTGTATACTTTTGACTGCACTGCTGTGTAATGGCATGTTGTTTGACACTGAATGACTCACATTTCTGATTTGATATGCCACTCTAGAAACACATTGCTTTTTCTTCATGTTATATGTATAAAACTTTGCCTAACTGTTCTTCTTTTTATAGCTGTTTTCTCATTCGTTGTGCTTTTCTCATTGTCTTGGAATTTCTCCTAGAAAGATCAGTAAAACATACAATACAAATCTTACACTGGCTGATATAACCTTTTTGACCTTGCACAACTGAATCCAGTTGACTGACATCTGGAAGAGATGTTAGAGTTGGAGTTTGGGGTTGTCAGTCTGCGAAGAGGAGTTATCAAAGTAAAATGTAATTTTAACCTTAATTGTTTTATATGTCCATATTTCAAGCTTGGGACCCTTAATTAACCAATAAAGATTCGTTTTTTTGATTTAGCGCTTGTTAGTCATCACAATTTGGATGCAACTTGAGACACAGGGTCATTGTTCTTCATCCCATATGTTTTGTGTATGATAGAAAGGAATCTTTTTAATCCTTTCAAATATTGTCTTGGCTGCATCTCTTTAGCACACTCATATGCTATCATATTTAAATTTCAGGCAAAAGCTTATTCAATAGCCAACTATTGGTTTTGATTGATTTCTAATCAAGGCAACTTTCTGTTTAACTCTGTGTTTTCAGTATTTCAAAGCTAACGGAGGTAAGTCAACAGGCCATTCTAACCTGCTCTGGAGGATGTTCAGCAATCCTAGACAGTATTTCTGCTTGACTCATTCTATCTCCACAGCTCAGAACAACTAGGTTCCACTTTAATTTTTCTTTTCTTAGATTTTTAATAAAAAGAGGGACACAGAGTAAGACAATGGGCTTTTCCATCGAATGACAGAACTTCTAAGCCTACATACTGCAATGCAACACTTCAAACCCAAACTGCTCTTCCATGGTTCTACGTTCATTGAAGGGTAAGCTACTTTACAATTGTGTTCTGCAGAATTACAGACATTTACCATCGAATCTGGAGCATTTTGGTCTATAGCTTGTCCAAAAAAGTGATCACCTCCTTCTGTACTTGCTTCACTACATTGTCTTCCTGTTAGATTAAGTATTTTTTATTCTACTCACCTACAAAGCTGTGATGATATAGCACCATCAAACCTCATAGAGCTCTAGTATCACCGTAACAGAGCAATGCGCTTCCAGAATTCAGGCTTACTTATCATCCTTCAAGTCTCCAAAAGTAGAACGATCCTTCAGCTATTAAGCTCCTCTATTGTGGAATCACCTCCCAGTTTCAGTTTGGGAGGCAGACACACGCTAGTTCAAGAGAAGGCCTAAAACCTTACTATACTATATTTGTTACTATAGGTGTAGATTTTCCAGGGACACATGACACAAGTAAATTCTCTTTCCTCCTCTCCTTCTTCATCACATTAATGTCTCATCAATACATGTTACTGGCTTGATATCTTCCCTGGACTTTTTGCTTTTTATTGTTGCAGATCCAGTATCACAGCTGCAGCCACATCGCTGATCGTGGGGGCAGCTCATTGTAGATTATGATTACATGAAGTATAGATTGCTTAGATATACAATATGCCTAAACTCGTATATTTGACAATTACTGGCAGGACCACTGTTATTAAGATTGTAATTGCTGCTCCCTTCAACATACATTAATAGACCTCTTCATTTATAATAGACACTGTCTAACGCACAATGAATATGTGAACATTGTTGTTTTGTCGATGTGCTCTGCTATATGTTGTATCTTTGGAATTTCTGTCAGTCCTGGGAGAGGAATCCCTCGGCTCTCCCTGAGGTTCCTGGGTTTCTTTCCTGTTACAGTTTTTTTGGATTGCTTACACACTAAAATTAAAAGTAGTACACTATTAGCAAAACCTTTCACTCAAGAAGCAAAACATCAGCCCATATTTGCACAACTATAAGCACATTGTCAACCTCACACTTGTTGCAAAACTCTACACACAGTGATTTGCAAAACACTAAACACACTTAACATACATTKCACACAAAAATCTATCATGAAGTCACGTCCTTGCAATACCAAAGCACTGACTGTCAAATTGCCACACCGTCCAACCAATTGGTTCAACACAGTCATCAGGTGTGCAAACACTTGTTTGCTTAATTGTAACCACAACAATCAGGTGTGTAAGCACTATAAAAAGCAGTAGGTGAGTTCATCGTTCTCCAAGCACAATGGAAAGAGTCAGAGAAAGAGTAAGATGAGGAGGAGGACGAGGAGGAGGAGGAAGAGGAAGAAGAGGAAGAGGAAGACAAGAAGGTGCTCAAAGAGGACCGAATCTGACAAATGAGATCCGTGCAACACTGGTTGACCATGTTGTCAACCACGGCCTGACYCTGAGGGAGGCTGGARTGCGAGTACAGCCAGATCTAAGCCGATATACAGTGGCAAGTGTGATGAGAACATTTCGACTGGAAAATAGGTATTATAAAAATATCATCATATCAAAACATCTGCACGGTTTCAGTCACTGCTTACAGTACTGTATTCTATGCACTATCAGCACTTCTGTTACCTTTTCCTGTGAAATTACTGTACTATTGTATACTGMTTTTTTTTCTACATAGGATTGAGGGTCAGGGACGAKAAGGYGGAAYGCCTCCTATGTTCACAGAACAGCAAGAGAGGGAGATAGTAAACATGGTTTTGGCCYACAATGCTATAACACTCAAGCAGCTCCAAGCTAACATTTTCAATAACCCCGCCATTTTCAACGATATCCATCAGGTCTCAACATCAACACTGGCACGCATCCTAAAAAATAAACATATTCAAATGAAGCAAATTTACGTATACAGTATTATGAATCTCTATGTCAACATTTTGGGCGTGTTGAGAAATAAATGAGTTTCTTCAGTCTGCAACATTGGTCTTGTGTAGTGTTTGGTGAATTTACATTATATTTGTACTTTGTTGATAGTAGACTACTCTAATCATAGGGAAGTAGAAGTGCTAAAAGTGTTTTAGGTTTATCGCAGCAGAGTGTAACTCGTGCAAACAGAGTATAGTAATGTGAAACGTGTGTTTCATATAGTAACAAAGTGTGGTTTTTAAAAAGAAGTGTATAGTTTTTTCAAGAGTGTTTAGTTTTGCAAAGGATCTGTAGTGTTTTGCTTATTGGGTGTGTGGTTGTGCTAATTGTGTGTAGTGTTTTGAAAACACGGGCCCTGTTTTGAAAATCGTGCTTAAGCAATCGAGAAAAACTGTAAGTTATTTTTGGCAGTTCCTCCTCACTCTTGCTGTGGATTAAAGTCTGAGGATGTTGAACTTTATTAAACCGGATGGCAAATTGTGATTTCTTAAAAAGGACTATGCTAATATTTGATTGATAGATAATAATAATCAATTCTATACCTCTTTTGCATGAGTTACGGAAAATAATGTGTTCTGTGGTCAAAGTGACCTTGACCTTTGACCTCCCCCCAAAATCTAATCAGTTCATCATTGAATCAACAAGAACAGCAGGGTTTTTTTTATGGTTCTTACCCAGAGACAGTATGCTGTTTTACCAGAGTTACTGTCTATAAAACACTGTCAGGGTATATATACACTGGTCTAGCTATAACATGGTACTGATAGAATTTGAATGAGAATAATAATTTCTTTCTTTTTAAACAATCAAACCACTTGTGGTTACTGTACTTGGTGTGAGGTTGTTTGTTGTTGAAGTGGCAACAAAGTTTTGAATCCTGAATCACAATTTTATTTGATCAATTTAATCCAGATTGATCATAACTCTTGAGGCTATACAGGACTTTTAAGGTATCGCCATGTGATTCAGTGTGACCTCTTTATTATCTGTTTTAACCTGAACTAAAACCAGTGCAATGATATGTTGTCTTAAATAACAACGAAGATGAGAACAAACATTATAAAAATGTTTTTATTGTTTATAACATACAATAAAAATTATAAAATTGAAATTGAATAAAACTGTTTGCTCTTTACACAAGTCAAACTGATGAGTGAATAAAAGGTGGAAGGCCCGAGTAGAAAGAGAGATCTATAGTGGGAACAGATTTTGGTTTGTTGTAGGAGGAAATGCTTACAGGGTCACTGGCTGTCTGATGTGATCAAGCTACCAAAGTAAGCAGTCACTGTCTTAAGCTTGTTGTTGAGATAGTTCTGCTCCACCTCCACCTTTCCTCCTGGACCAGCCAGAGAGGCTATCTGTGGAGACAGGGACACAGAGGTCATGCATTACCACACCTGTGAGCCCATATTGTGTTGTGATTGAGGATCTGTTCAATCACTTCAGTAATGCACTGAATCTAAATTTGTTTTATCTGGTACAGGGAACAAGAATCTGAGGATTAGAACATGATTGTCTTTACTCGCATTAAAGGCTTTAAAAACAAAATGTTTAGAACCTGACTGTCAATCATCTGTATTTATAATCTGATGGTTGGGACTTAAATGATCCTTCCTCATTTCTCTAACAATCCTACCACATGCCCACATTTGATACAGCCATTCTAAATCAAAATGCTACAGATCCAACATCCCACATTTTGTGCAAATCTATCAGTGTGGTACATTGTGAAGGCCTGTAAGTTACTGATGAGTTTTGTTTCCCCTCAGGTCTATCACCAGTACGATCCATGCTTTGGTATCAAACCAAACAGACTCATCCAGCACTCAATTCAGGTGAAAATAAGTTATAACATATATGTGAAATTGTCAACATCAAATGGGTTAAATATCAGATAACGTATTATAAACATATACTGATGTACTCAATTTGCTAAAATAATGTCCTACGATGTGAGAGAACAGATGCCTCCTGAATTACCCTGCTTCCATTGTACCTCAGTGTACCTATTGGCAGGTCTAGCTCAGACTTAATTTACACTAAATCATTTAAAAATGCTTTTCATAATGTGCTCTGTGACCTTCTCTAGCAAGCACGTATATGTGACAGACAAAGCCAGTATTCTTTTGGCATAATCGACATACAGACCTGGTCCATATCAGCATTGCGAGGCAGGAAGTACACTATGTTGTCTGATATCAGTTTGGCCAGGCGGAAAATCTCAAATGTGGCTAGAGTTAAGGATGAAAACCAAATTTGTACATGAACATAGACATTATTTAAAACATTTGACTGATATTTTGTCCCTAGAAGTGTCCAAAACAAAAAGAATCACCCTCAATAATATAATCTGTTCTTCACACTTTGATATTTTGTGTATAACGGAATTTTGTCCAGATGAAGTTTCAATAGGAAAGTTGAGGGCTTCCGACAAACATTAGATTCATACTTACATCATATTT